AGTCGCTGATAAGTGTTCAACGAGGACAAATCCTTAGCCGTTTCCCTGGCTCTATGCACCACACCTCAATAAATTGCTGCCATAAAAGGATTTGAATGAATAAAGTAAAAATCTTGTTAAAAACCTGTTCCAGAACAAGTGTTGGTACCAGATCTGGTTGGTTGTTGAAGGAACTCGTCTATCCGCAATTAAGCGATACGGGTTCCTAAATTACTTTCTGAAACTTGTCGAGATCCTTGGGCGGCCAGATACGGTCACGATTTAGTGGTCATTTAACGCTGAACAAGTTCTAGCTAACTGCAACTGTAGAAAATGGGAGTACGTCACAGCCCTGCAGTGCTGTCATTGTATCTTGAATAAGGATGTTATCCAACTCTGATGGTTGAGTATCGTGTGCCAATGAGTGCCAGCTTAGCACTTCAAGGCAACTGGCACGATATTTGGGTAATTGGCCTAAAATGCTAGCACGGCGCCATGTAGTGGGGAAAAATGGCGAAAAAAAGTGAACGGTCAAAAACCTGCAAAGAAAAGCCTTCGTTCTCAATGACTCGAAAGCAATTTCGGACGAGTTTCCCGTAGGCATCTTGCCAATAACCGCTACGGTAGGTACGGCTGCATGTATGTACTCATATATCCATGCAGCACCGCAGCCGCTTCATACCAATCCTTCGCTTCATATTTTACTTAGCAAATGAAGCAATGCGAGCATCAGGTACGGTCGTCCATTTGTGGGCGGGCGGGCGTGGTGGGCGTTCGGGTTGGTATGTTGTAGCTTGATAGGGCCCTTATAAGAGGCGCTACACAACGCCTGCTCAGGGTTGTATTCCGTCTCGCCAGGCGTATTAATCCTACTCGTCTTAGGGATTTATCATGCCAACTGCCTTTAATGCCTGCCGCCTTCTGGGGCCGTATGCTATACTTCCTCTCGAGGGGGACATATCCCCCAGCAAACCTCCGCTCTCTGCCGTTATCTCTATCGATGCCCCTCGTCTCTCTGCATCTTTGCTTGGGGATAGGGGAATATTGATTAACCAGTCGGATCGCCCGGCTGTCGCCGGGCGCTCCTCCTTCTGTGACATGGCCCGGCTTCGCCGGGCCATGCGGATTTGCCGCGTGCTAAGTTAAGGATCGTTGACCAACCACACTGTTCAAAGGAATCTTCTGCATCAGCCAAGAACTGAAAAGCAGCGCTCGTTCCGTCAAGACGCAGAAGCAGCAGCAGCGCCCCCGCATCACAGAAGGAGGAGAGCCGGCCTTAGCCAGCGATCCGACTGGTACGTTCATAACCTACACGGAAATAGTGCAGCCTGTTTGGACAGCCACTGAAGCAGCCTATAATTTATGCAATCTGTCTTCCTAAAGCGTCTTGCTTTGGAATGCACTACCGCATTCAGCAGTGGAACCCTTTAAATGGCCCTCACTAAGGTTGTTGATGGAAGATAATTGTGGTAAGAGTGATTAAGTCAATTGCTGCTGTTCATAACATCTCTGTAAACAAACCCCATGCATTTGGAATAGAGCTAGCTTAGCGGTCGTACATGATGTCGTTACTAATAAGCAGTGAGGAATGAGTTCTGTTGGAATCATTGAGATCGTTATACTTGAGTCATATCGATCGCATTGTTGTTGTGAGCGGTGAAGCGGATTTTCCCATGCTACCTTGTCAATTTTAGCTCCTATCACTTCCGTACCCGCCAATAACACTCCCGTCCCGTATCACTATCATATCACCCTGTATCGCCTCTCGGATCAGAGGTCCCACTGTTGCTGTAACCTGCGTTACGAATCTGATGACCCTCCCCTTCCGAGGCCGCTTACCGTATCTTATCAACTGTTATCACTTTCTGTCGCCCGCCAATAATGTTCCCGTCCCACATCCTATATCACCTCACGGATCTGAGTTCCCACTGTTGCTGTAACCTGCGCCACGAATTTGATGACCCTCCCTTTTAAGGCCCCTTATCGAATCTTATCAAGTGTTATCACCTCCTGTCACCCATCACCTCCTGTCACCCACAAAGTGTTCCCGTCCTGCCATGTATATCACTTCTTGAAATCACGGTCCCGCAGCTGCTGCAACTTGCGCTACGATTTCGGTCACCCTCCCCTTCTAAGGCCCCTTATCGAATCTTATCAAGTGTCATCACCTCCTGTCACCCATCAAAAGTGTTCCCGTCCTGCCATGTATATCACTCCTTGAAATCACGGTCCCACACCTGCTGCAACTTGCGCTACGAATTCAGTCACCCTCCCCTTCTACGGCCCCTTATCGTATCTTATCAAGTGTTATCACCTCCTGACACCCACCAAAAGTGTTCCCGTCCTGCCATGTATATCACTTCTTGGAACTGTCATCCTATCTTTTCTGCGACGCTCGCTATGAATTTCGTGACACACACACACACACACACACACACACACACACACACACACACACACACACACACACACACACACACACACACACACACACACACACACACACACACACACACAGACAAACTTAGCGGATTATATATAGTAGGATACTCTCTGCGCTGTACTATATTCGCACAGAGCGTGCGCCAGAAGAGTATGGATGCAGAGCGGCGAGAGCCAGAGAGAGAGAGAGGAGGGCACCAGTAGGGAAAACGGCAGAGAGTGGAGGTTTACAAGGGGATATCTCCCCTCGAGGGGAAGTATAACATACGGCCTCTTGAGTTTTGTTGAGTGAACACTGTGGAAAGGCAGTGGTGTCCTCACATGATCCACGCGCTTGATTTTTTTTGAGAGCAACCTTGCCATAAGTGAGGCGAACGACTGCAGGTTATGACAACACCCCCGTGTCGTCTATACTCCGCCCGTCACGGCGAACCACACACCTAACCACAGCGAAACACGCTACTTGTCTACGTCCTCTCACACGTGGCTGTTCTCCACTGCTGAGTACGGATTCGTTGGGGGACCTTGGCATCGACGCAAGTGTTACCTCGAAGATAGCGCGGGTGGAGTATGGAGACGCAATAGCAAACAGCATCGTGATGCGTTAAACGGCGGTGCCAGTATGCTCCTCCGGGAAAAGAATCCTGGTGCGACCTTCCCCCCCCCCCCCCTCCCCCCACCTTACCGGCTCTAATTGTTTGCTCTGACGAGAAGGATTAGATAAGTGACTACTATCTGACTAGTGACTATGAGACTCGCAAGCGCTTGCGGCCTCGTTATGATTCCATGGCCAATTAGCGGTGAAGCAGATCTGTTGACCGAATGAAAATCGCTTCTTGGGGCTTCTTCTGAGGGTGATTGCTGTTCAGTGTGGGCTTTTTAGAAGCGGAAGGCATGTTGAAGCAATATCTCTGATGTTGCGTGTTCTACCTACTCGCAGTCTGAATCTTGCCCCGTTCGTGAAATATTTCGGATGGGTTACGGAAGCGTTAGCGGTAAATCTCGAGTGGGTTTTACGCTTCGGACGAAAATAACTTCTTCGAAACACAATTGTTTGCAAAACTAAAAACGCCATCAGAATTATCTTTTTCCAACCATCTTACAGTTTTTCGACCCTTACTTCAGAAGATATTTTAGATGGGTCACCCTTGGGCGACATTCTGAGCCACTCAAAAGCTCGACTCCTTCTGTGCCATTGTAAGGATACTCATTCGCGAACTTCAATATGCCTTCAAAACACATATTCCCGTTGAACTGAGTCAAAGCATAATTGATTATCAACGATCGATTTGGTCCGAGTGTGCGCCGTGCATTACGCTTCCACGCGGAGGTGGTGGAAAGGTGTAACTCCCGATTTAGGTTATTTTTGTCCATGCGAGCAGATTTGTTTAGGGTTTGGAAAAGTCGATACGCACGCATCTGTTAGAGATGTATTATTTAGTCAGTATTTATTCAGTATTTATGTACGAGTCCACGCTAACTATTGTTATTGCTAATCAAGTGTTACAATATTTTATGGTCTTCCTTACATCCGGGTCCTCTGCAGCTTTCCGTCCGCTCCGTGGAACTTAGTGATGGCACTTTTGTGCTGTTCGGTGCTTACCGACCCTGCGTTTACTACCCCCCCCCCCCTTCCTCTCCAGCGGCCAAGTACGACCATACGGTGGAACTGCTAATTTGCCAACGTTCCATATTCCTGTCTCATGAATTAATTCAACCCTTTCAGTTTCAGAAGTGGGCGATCCACTTCTGAAACTGAAAGGTTTGAATTAATTTCATGAGACAGGAATACGCCGGTACGTAGGCCAATGAAGCTCATTCATAAACGTCGTGTGGAGTAGAAGCAGAGCACCTTGCAATCAACATAATGCCGAGATTCATGTGTATATGAACATGGTGCTTTTCCCGAGAGGTAGAGTTACCCGAAACTTCTCCACCATTTATGATCGCTCTCGCTAATTCGTACGCTCTCGAAGACTCACTGCAGCGAACGATCAAAAATTGAATTTAAATCTTTATTTGAACAGTTTTGAATTGCTTTCGTATGTTTTAGAAATATCTCTTTTTAGGATGTCTGCGGTGAAGAGGTGAGTAGCACGACACCTGGCAAACGAGCTGTGGCGAATTCCATATTCACTTGCGGTGACTTGGAATCAGCCACACCCTGCAATCGTCCTGTGTTGATTCATTTTGAGGTAATACTCGAATGTTTTACAGTTTATATCACTGCTACCTGTCGGGTCGCAATCAGCGGGTTCCACTAGTGGTTGATTTCTTCCTGAATCGATCTTTCCCGGTCGCCATTGGTTGAGCAATTCAGTCGGACGCGGGCTCGAACCGCGCCGCTCACACCGCCCCCGACGAATGACAATGATACAAGCTGTACATTCTCGACCATAAGAACGCGGTTGTGGAGCGTTTCTCCCCAGTCGCGGCATGCACAGACTATCCTTGCTGACTGACTAGAAAAACACAGAGAGAGGGTCGAGTAGAGAGAATCGGGAGAGTCGACGCACTGCCACGCTGAGTGTATGAGGTCGTGGTGCGAATGCTGCGTACGTGACCCGCGCTTGCGAAAACGAAAAAAGGCGTATTTCTCTCTGTCTAGTGTTGCATTTGCGGCGATTGGAAAGTAATGCTCCACACCCTAAGAAGGAAGGTCAAAGCCAAAAAGGAAATCCACCCACCGTGACAGATTCGGTACCAGCGCTAAAAATGAATGTAATTTTGTGATCCCGTGGAATGCCAAAAATCGCTCCAAGCAGTTCGGCGAGTCTGCCTGAAAATTTAGGTTTATAATGAGGACCTTATGTGATTAATACAGTGAGGGTGATAGATGTTACCGTATGTCATATAAGGTCGTAACCAGAGTATTGCCTTCTGACTGTTGTACTCGAACATGACTCGGCGATTGTCCACATGCTCGAGGAGAGCACTTTCGGCAGTGCTTCGATCTGTTGCGGAAGTCTTAAAGACGCTCATTACGCTGACATATTAATTCAAAGCTTTGTGGGAATCCTTACTTGGGTGCTTAACAGACTAGCCATTGTGTGGAATTCAACAAATGGGAGACCTCATTTTGTGCAGTTGATTTTCACAGCTAGACGAGCAATAGAAGAGTCTAAAAGCGTGGGCGAGAGGCGGAATATCGACATGTGAGAGAGCAAGCACGATGTCGCACACCTCATCACTCCCATCGGTTCTCTCTTAGAACGCGAAATTTTCATAAATCAGGACCAGTAAGGTGGTTTTACAGTAGCAGTGGAAAATCCTGTCCTCCACCACATGGACGCACCTTAACTGTGGCATTTGTGCACTACCTACATGACAGGTAGTCGCAGAATGTGCTCTTAGCAGCATATTCCGCAATGTTCCGTCCAAAAAATTCCTGGGCGAGTCTGAACAATAGAGGAGTATGCACTTCTTGATCTGTTCGTAAAGAAAACAAACAGAAATGCCCTTAAATCGTTTGAAAGCGAGAGGTGAGGATTCGTAGGAGAGTTTAGGACGGTAAGGAGGGCAGAAGAGAGCAGCGCATATTAACAGAACAAGTAGGAAGGCATTTACGACAGTCAGCACAGCGGGCGGAGTCACTAGTCACTGAGGTATAGAGGAGTCACTTGAGCAAACTTGCGCCTTATGGTTACGCAGCGTTCAGACGTCGCGTCAGCGTCGATCGCGCATGCTTTCGTTGATGGACGCAGTTGAAAGCATGCTCGATCGATCGCGTGAAACGCGCGACCGAAGCGGTGCCGTCGCGAAGACTGAACGCTGCCTCAGAGAGATGGTCCGCGAAAGAAAGCACAGCGAGATTGGAAAGAAAGTTGCCAAGGGACTCGCCCGTGAGGGGAGAACGCGGTACGGATCGTTGCCTCTATGAGGACCCTCCTCTCTCCAGCCTCAAGAGTTTGTAGTGCAAAAGTCTATAACAAGAAAAAGACCCGGGGTGGTACAATCCAGTCGGCTGGTTCCTTATAATGATCTCTAAGATCCAGGTTCATTCCTTCTTGTGAGCCCTAGGGTTCTCAAGCGACAATCTTGCATCCATTTCATACCTGTCGACTTTCTGCTGGGAAAAAGGTACACGGTGGTAAATTGCAGACCACATCAGCCTTTCCACACAATCCTTCGCATTTTCCTGGATCATCGTGGACCGTTCCTTCATATTCTTACTTCAAAACTTTATACGCAAGGCTTGTACAAGGCTATCCGTTGCGATATAAATACTGTACCTTTCCCTACTCCTGCCGGGAGCTTCGATTATGAGGGATTGCAGAACGTGTCCATTTGAGTCGCAAGTCGCTTTAAAACAGTGATGGGGACTTGGCCATTTTTTTAAATTTTGTTAGGATTGGTTTCCTGACAGAAGGCTGTTCACCAATCTTTTCATCTTGATTTTAGCTGTCCCAAGAAGAAGTTGAGGGCTTGCAGAGACGGACTGACAAGGGCAGCATTTACAGCGAAGTTTGTTCTTCGAAATAATACTAGCGACATTACCATATTTGATGCTGCAGCTCAATACATTTTTAAGAGAAGTCTGCTGTGAATTTCTAAGTCAACTAGTACTGTGCAGCTCCATAAGTTGTTGCTTTATGCAACCAGTACTGGCTAACGCACGTGCACCATGGACTAGTCCTTCGTGGACGAATTTGATAGCAAACAGTCCATGCGAAAACCTCAGCAACTCTTCTGCTCGTGCCTGCTCACGGCCCTGCGAAGACCGCGTAGCTTAGTGACTGCAAACCTACTGCAGGGGTGTTTTTATAGGCGAGAAGGACGCTATCATCATCAAAACATCATCTCAGATGATACTGCAGCACCGACCGGTTTCTGTTTCGGCTAGCAGTCGATTTCTGCTATCACCCTCTCTACCTCACCCTGAAGTCATTTTCCAGGATGGACAGGCATACAGACCGCCAGACATACAAATTGACACACCAAGATTTTGGTTTATAGAATAGCGTGATATTTGGCAGTTTGCAAGGAATGACAAACACTTCGTTTTGTCTTCTTTTATCCATGGTGTCAGTATGACAGAACTGATTCACTACATAGTTAGTAGAGGAATGGCAGAAGAGAGGTCGTGTCAGTGAGGCGTACTGAGGCCTTCGGTCTGGAAATCATCCACTAGAGAGAGAGCCATTTGCGGCGGCTTGTTAAATCCAATCCACTGTGAACTTCCGAATAACTTGCAGTAGCCCTTGGAGTGTCCTACAAAGGTACAATCAGCCTTATATATGTGACCGCCACAGCTACAGTGATGAACGTTACGGCTTTTTATGTAAGTGAGTGAAAGTTCAGGGGGAGGATTGTCTGCTGCCTGCTAAGTATGAATTTAACTGTTCAACATGATGTGAAAATGACTACAGCTAAACAACATCGAGCGCGAAAGGGCACAGTCTGATTCTTTCAACTCATAGCAGAGCCAATTGAGGATTTCAGCATGGACTATAGAGGCGCTTCTAGCCTTAATCCCATCGCATTGTTCACGATGACATCGGCATTAATAGTGAGAAGTGAGCTGATCTGAACTGGGCTTGCTGAGCAGAATTAAATACTCCGAACTTCCAGTCCTCTCCCATATCTTCTGGAGACACAGCTCTACTTACAATTGTTATAGTGTTGTAGACAGACATATACAGGGGGGAGCCGAAAAAAAAGACTTTTCTTCCTTGACTTTCGAGGCGTTGTAAGTTACACTTTATTAAATTCTTATCGGATATTTTCACCACCATATTAAAGAGCATATCAAATACTATTATGATACTCCGCCACAGCCTTCTGGAGGAGCGCCGAGAGATTCTGCCACGCGACCGTGAGTGGGCCTGAGATCAGCGAGATAGTCGATTTCTCCGCCACCGTAGACCACCCTATTGAACTCCGCCCGAACCAGGTAATTGAGGGGGTTTGGGTCAGATGACCTGCTTGAATATTCCACCTTCCTCAGGTACTCAACGCCCCTCCATTCCAAGTAGGCAAGAGTTTTCCCAACGCCCTTTGATTCCATGTGGTGTCACCTAATCCTGTAGCAGTACAAAGTTTCCAAGAAGGTACGGGCGACGACATGTGGGGGGATATTCTTCTCGAGTTGCTCGATGTAACCGCCAGTGCTCACCTTCAGTCCGTTGCCCGCGAAGAAAATATTGGTCTCTCCATTCCAGGTACGTCCGGTCCCTACCATCAACTGGCCTTGGCGACTGGGGTGAAGATGATGTCCTGGACCGTAGCGACGTTGACGGAGCTGCTCGATGATGGAGGTCTTCCAGATCGAGAGTACTGGTCTCCAGGTAGCTATCCATGGTGACTCCACTAGAAGTTTCGCAGCTGTTTGGAGGTGACATGAATTCCGAAGGTCTTCTCCAGTCAGGTTGCGGCTGGAGATGACTTCATATTTTGGTGTACATGAAGGTGATGGGCGAGCGCCAGCTCCTGCTTATAGAGGAACATCTTGGGTATCTCCGCCCTGGTACTCGTATCCACGTTCTCTGTCTGGGCTGCGAAACTTTGCTGATATGTGACTCGGTCAAAATGTCCCAATGTTTTGGCCCCCCTCCCCTGTATACTTTAGAGATAACGCTCTGAAGTTCTCAATGCCGGTGCATGACATGACGCCCGTTGCTTTTGTGCTCCTTCGAAAGTATTTAGCCGCAACAAGTATCACATCTACCGTTGAAGTCAAGTATTGAAGACAGCTCCCGCGATAAAAGTCTCATGGATAGCTGCTCCAATTATGAAACAGCAGCTGATAAGTAATCTCCCAAAGAAGAAAACAGGCAAGAAGCGTCCTCCAGAACAACATAAACAAAATCGCTCCCTCACAGTCACCTCCCTGCGGTCTCTGTGCAACCCCTAGCTCACAAATCTCTATCACATCTCGCAGTAGTTGATATCATCCAGTGCAAAAAAGAATACAAAAAGAAAACAACAAAAACGCAGAGGAAAACTCTTGGAAGGAAAAAGGAATTTTATCAACGCGGTGTCTGAATTTGGGATTACGGTAGCGCACGTTTTGTGCGTCGAGGTTTTGCATCACGAAAATTGCGTCACTCGTGCTTTTTACGCGTTTCACCTCGCGAAATGAGTTGAATTGAATGTATATACCTCCAATGAGTAAACTGTAATAAAGGGGAGCAGAATTATCCATGGGCATTAGCAATGCCCGCCGCCCCAACTAAGAACAACTGAGTGGCCTCCGTCGGAGGACATCTAGCAAGTAAGGCGGCGTTAGAACTAGAACTTACGGCTGTAGCTCGCTTCTCGCTCGCTGTGCAGACGAATAGAGTGGGACAGTCTCTAGCTTGGGGGCTGTACTACTTGCACAAGGAAGGACGACCATGTACTACTCGAGCGCGGGGGCTGTCTTTAAGTGAATCCTGAGCAAAAGAGAAAGAAAAGCATATTGTATTAGTATGGCCCTTCTTTTTGCTTATGATTTTGAGCGTTGTGTAAGCCTACGGAGAGGAAATGCTGAAATTCCATGCGAACTGCATGACAAAAACGATCAAGAAAAGCGGAAATCGCTGTCCTCAAGCAGCAGCTGCGACAGCCGCCTCTCCAAGAAGGATCGTCTATAGCCCAAAGCGTGGCATGTCCTACGTTGGAGGCTCCACAGGAAGGTTCGTCCTTGGTCGCTGGAGGGAGGAGGGACGTATCTGCTCTGAGAAAAAATTTTCTGATAGTCGATTTTTCCTGTTTCACGAGCGCTGTTCTTATCTTTGGAAGAATTCCAATGAGGTGGGGGAGCCGTGTTTGCTCGTCGTTGGCAGAGGGGGTCGTAGTAGAGGGCGAACCTGGGCAGAGGGTCCTATTGCCCGAAAAGCTTCCTCAGTGGCAGGAATTACCTGGCACAAAGTAAAGAGAGCGACAAGAGGCATGTCCTCTGTGATTTTCCCCATTCTCGCCCACACTATATGCAGCTTTAAACGGTAGGCAGAATGTCACCTGAGACTTCAAGGTGATTTGCGTGCTGTTGTAGTTATTTG